CAACCGGCGACCTTCTTGCTGCGAGGCAACAGTGCTACCAACTGCGCCACCCTGCAGCCCTATTATTATTATTATTATTATTATTATTATTATTGTTGGATTATAATTCAGATCACTGAGGATGTTTGCATTTTTATCAAACACAACACCTAGATAAGCAACTGAGTTTTTCACAGGAATGTAGTCAGTTTGGACTAGATCTCATTTTTTAAGTGGAAATAGCACAGATTAGTTTAATTTCATCCTCAGGCCTGATACAGCTGAGAATTCTACAGTACATCTGACAGCTGTATTCACTTCATATTTGTTTTTTAAAAATATTGCTATATCATCAGCCAGTTGAGATCATTTGAATTCTCTGTCCAGAGCTCTAACACCTTGAAATGGATATTTTTTGATATGCACTGCCATAACTGAGGACTCAGTGGACAGCCGTGTCTAATTCCCATCTAATATCAAATCTGGGAGTTGTTCCATTTGTTAGCTTCACTCAGCTGTTACATCCTTTATATAAAGTTCTGACTACTTTCAGGAATCCTTCTCCAAATCCAAAAAATGTAATAACTTTGGTAATAAACTGGTGACTAATGGCATCAAAAGCTTTATAAAAGTCGATAAACAAGATAAGGCTATCATCCAATATATAATCATTATAATCAATCATATCCAGTATTAGTCGTATGTTACTGGTTATGTCTCTACCAGGAACAGAACCGGACTGTTCTTCGTCGACAATTTCATTTAATCCCAACTTTAATCTTTTGGCAAATATCAGGGCAGAAATCTTGGCATCGTTGCTCAGTGGACTGATTGGTCTCCAGTTCTCAATGTTGAGTTGATCTTTTTGTGGTTTTGGAATTATTTTGATAAGACCTTGTTTGAAGGTTGGGGGCAGCTCCTCTTTCCCCAGAGCTTCCTCAAACATTGCTACCAGAAAAGGAGCTAATGTTGTAGTGAAATCTTTGTAAAACTCACCTATTAATCCATCATTACCTGAAGATTTGTTGTCTTTTAAAGCATTAATACAGTTTTGTACATCGATTATATTGATTTTTTTGATCACATCTTGATTTAAAGTTAATCGTTTTAGTCTCTGGTTCTCTTCCTTTCAGAAACACATCCATGTCATCTTCCTTTAACTGATCTGCTCCACACAGTCCCTCATAGAAATTGTGACATTTGCTTTTCATCATCACATATAAGATCATTGATCCTGAGTTTACTCAATGGGGATTGTTCAAAATTTCTTTTTTCTAAATTAAAAAGGGGGCTGCAAGGTGGCGCAGTTGGTAGCACTGTTGCCTCGCAGCAAGAAGGTTGCCGGTTCGCGTCCCGGTGGGG